TGGCTCCCCGCAGCCTCGACCTCCTGGGCTCAGGCAATCCTTCCGCCTCAGCCTCCCGAGTAGCTGGGTCTACAAGCATCTGGCATCACGCCCAACTAGCGGTGGTTTCCTTTGTTTTGTCTCACTATGTTGCCCAGGCTGGACTCACACTCCTGGCCTCAAGTGATCCTCACACCTGGGCCTTCCAAAGTACTGGGATTATGGGTGTGAGCCACCACACCTGGCCCTGACCCTTCTCTAATAAGAGCACTGCCCTAAATCCGGCATGAGGAAATTGATGTGAGCTGGGCTCTTACCTCCTTGCTAGTCGACGTGCAATACAAAAGCGTTTCTTTTCTCAAAAATGCAGTGTCACAGTATCGGCTTCTCTCGCATCGAGCCCTGGTGCTGGGTGACAACACTGCCCGTACCGGCTCCCTGCCCACAACGGGAAGGTGAAAATGAAAGACAGCTGTGAAGGCCCTTGACCCCGGAGCCCAGCTGTAAAGCCACGGTCCTCCTCGGCTGCAGAGGCGGGGAGGGGGTCATGGTCCTCAGCCCAGCAACCCGGGAAGACACAGGTAGCAGGGCGGCCAGTCAGCAGTTCAGGGCAAATCACTTGCATCTGTCCCACTTCCTGCTTCCCGCCCTGACTCCTCACGGTGGCCTCGAGGCCCTGCACACGCCTCCCTGACCTCCTCTCCTCAGCCTCTCCTGTGGGTCACCGTGCTCTACGCGGAGCTAAGTGTCTCCAGCACACCGGGCCGGTTCCTGCCTCGGGACCTTTGCACTCGCTGTTCTGTCTGGGATGCTTCTCCCACAGATCTACTAAAATGTCACCTCCTCGGAGGGAATTTCCCTGACCAGCCAACATAAAGTGACCCCTCTTTCTGTCACTGTTATACCACACTTTTATTTTCTTTGTATCACTTGTCACTATCTCAAATAATTATTTTTCAGACAGGTCTCCCTGTTTTGCAGGCTGGAGTGCAGTGGCACAATCACAGCTCGATGCAGCCTCAACCTCCTGGGCTCAGGCCATCCGCCCATCTCAGCCTCTCAAGTAGCTGGCACTTCAGGTGTGCGCCACCACACCTGGCTAATTTTTTTTCTTTTCTTTTTTTGGAGAGACAAGATCTCACTATGTTGTCCAAGCTAGTCTCCAACTCCTGGGCTCAGACAATCCTCCCGCCTCAGCCTCCCAAAGTGTTGGGATTACAGGCATGAGCCACAGCGCCCAGTCTGCTATCTTAAATTGTTTTTACTTATCCAGTGTTAAGGATGCAAAGATCTGTGAGGCCAGGGGGTCTTGTTCATTCTGGGAACCCAACACTTAGAACAGTACCTGATGCCTGACAGGTGCAGTGGCTCTATATTGCTGCTTAAGAGATCCCCAAAACGCAGTGGCTTATAACAGCAACTGTCACTTACCTTTCATGCCTCTCTGAGTGAGAAGCAGGAAGAGCTAGACTGGGTTGTTCTCTCAGGGCTCCGGGTCTCTCGTGCAGTCAACTGTCAGTGGCAGCAGAACATCTGGGGGTCAGCTCGGTGCCTCGTGCTCAGGGCCTCGCCGTGGGGTCTGTTTCAGCTTCCCTAGAGCATGGCAGCCCCGGGGCAGCTGGACTGCTCGTGTGATGGCCAAGAGCTTCCGGAGCCGCTGTCCCAGCAAAGCCGGCGGAAGTGGCATCCTGTCCCCGTGATGACCAGGCCTCGCATGCTACAAAGTGTCATTTCTACCCTATTGATCGACAAGCCCAGAAGGTCAGAGAACTTGGGGCCCTATTTTAAAACCAACGCAGCAGGTAATCAACAAATATTTAAGTGAATGTTGACTAAGTTAATTTGTTAGAGGAGACCAGATAAAGAAAGCGAAGGGTGCCCACGGGCACAGGGTTGGCGGGCATGAACTCGGCAATGAGGATTGCGAACCACTGGAAACTCAGTTGGTGCGTCAGGCTGACAGGTTTTGCATCTCTCAGTGGCCCCTGAAAAGCCACAGCTGAATTATATTTAGCAAGTGATGACGTGCTGCTGGGAGCTTCCCAAAGTGTGGGATGAATGTGGTGTGTGACATGACTTTAGGCGACATGTAGACGTGGCATTAAATGCCAGTGAATCACATGGATTATACTTAGCCCATTTTCAATTCTCTTTCACTTCTCATCATGTCAAGAAAGTTTCCGTTGGGTGATAATGTGTCCCAAATAACCTCTAATACTTAGCTAATCTTCCTTGGTATCACATGCAGACTCAGCCCCTTGGCAGGCAACAGTATCTACTGAGAATTTAAAAACATTGTCTTGTTTTCATGTTTACTTTTACAATGAGCCACTCATAGCTTAGTGGTTTTCTAGTTAAATGGTAACATTAAGTATCTATTTAAGGTAAATTTAAATCAAAAGAATAGCATGAAGCTCATTAAAGGTCAGAGTACAGAGATACCGCAAAGGCTAAGAAGATTCACGCAAGAGAATGTCGTGGGAAACCTGAATATATAATGAAACCAACAGGCTGTGAAGACAGGAGTCCTACACACCATAGGTGGCCAGGTGGCCTGACATTCTAGCTGTTCTTAGAGGATTTCTGACTCAAGGTTGTGGCTTGGGCCTACAGCCTGCTGGCAAAGTGTAGGGTAGCAGAATCAAGTTGTCTTAGAAGACACAATTGAGCACATTTTGAATGGTATTCAATATCCTCTCCCCCCAAGAACAAATAAAAGTTCCGTATAAAAAAGTGCCTCTCCAGACCTGATGCACACAGGAAGTCTCAGGCATCTTGTTAAAATGCAGATTCTGATTCAAGTTTGGGCTGGGGCCTAGGAGTCTGTATTTCTTTTTTTTTTTTTTTTTTTTGAGTCAGAGTCTCACTCTGTCGCCCAGACTGGAGTGCAGTGGCCGCTCCTGGCCACCGCAGCCTCGAACTGCTGGGCTCCGGCAATCCTTCCGCCTTAGCCTTCCGAGTAGCCAGAAGTACAGGCATGCGCTATCACGCCAGGCTGATTTTTTTATTTATTGTAGAGATGAGGTCTTGCTGCCCAGGTGGGTCTCGAACCCGCGGGCTCAGGCAAGGAGTCTGTATTTCTAACAAGCTTCCAAGTGATGCTGATGCTTCTAGTGTGGGGACCGCAGTGACAAAGCAGCAGCCTCTTGAAAAAAATCTAGAGTGCTCCTGCCTGTCTCTTCCCAACTCTGTGGTGAGGTGACATCACATTAGGAGCTTAAAATACACGTGGCTGATGTGTTTACACTAAGAAAATTAGCACATAATACAAGCCAGGGTTCAATTTGTTTTATTGCCTTGTAGACTCAAGAAAATGACAGAAAAATATCCGTTAAATTTACAGTGAGCTATGTACACAGAAATGCACACATTCAGAGGAGCAGCTGGGAAGCATTCACCCCACCCTACTGGTTGTACAGATATGTATACTACAACCATGCAAATAAAAGCAGTAAACACTCCGACGGCCTCTGTCAAGAGGACTCAGCTCTGCTACTGAACTCAAAAGCAGCCATGCACAATATATCCATGAGTAGTGGGGCTGTTTTCAAATATAAAACTTCATTTACGGACACTGACACTTAAATTTCACACAATGGGCCACTCCCTTGGGTTCCCTCCCACTGTGGGAGCTTTTCTGTCCTCTTAATGAATCCTTTCTCAAAAAAAGAAAAAACAAACAAAAAAAACCTCATACAATGTTCATGTCCGGGAACATTGCTCTTTCGCGATCGTTTCCAACCCAGTTAAAAGTGAAGAAAATCATTTTCATTTCACAGGCCAGATTTGGTCCACCGATTGCAGGACTCTCCTCCCCACTTCCACATCCTACCAGGGCAGAGCTGGGACTCGGATGCAGCTAACACCTGGAATACAGAGTCCCAGGCAGAGAGGGCTCAGCAAGTGAGAAGGTCCTGAGGCTGGGACGAATTTAGTATGATCCAAGGACAGCAAAACCCCGGTGGTGGCTGAGCTGCAATGAGCATGGGGAGCAAGCCGGGAACGGGAGGCAAGCGCAGAGGGCTTCAGAGCCTGAATAAGAGCCTCACCTCAGAATCTATTCCAAGTTCAGCTGAAAGCCCTTGGAAGCACTGAGAAAAGATGTGCCCTTGGGTCTGTGCTTTTAGTTTATGTTTTTAAGATTCCTCAGCCTGCTGCGTGGGCCCAACAGAGCCTGGGGCTCCGCAAAATGCGGTGACAGATGGCAGAGGCTGTCTCGTCTTCCGGGTGAGGGCCGTAACAGGGAGCTGATGAGAACCAGTGGATCTGGGCTATATTTTGAACGTGAGGCCAAGTCTCAGGACTTGCTGAGATATATGTAGCAGGTGAGCAGAAAACGACGCCAGAAGGTCCCGTGGTCCTTGCGAGGTCGCTGGTCTCACTGTACAGACGGCTACACTGAGGCCCAGGTCCAACATCCTCTATGAGCTTTGTGAGGCCGACTGTCCCATCATACAGATGGAAACACTGAGGCCCAGGTCCAAGATGCTCCCACAAGTCTTGGGAGGTCGACGGTCCCATTGTACGGATGAAGACACGGAGGCCCCGATCCAGGATCCTCCACGAGCCGTGTGAGGCCACTGGTCCCGTTTCACAGATGGAGACCCCGAGGACCAGCCGGGTGCCTGGGGGCTTTAGGCCCCTGGCCATCCCGAAGCCCCCATTCTCGCGGCTCGGAGAGGTCCAATCCCCTGTGCTGGGCG